GACTGCATACTAGGAGAGGTAAGGCAGCCCCAACTCCACCATCTACAGTTGTTTTCACATCATTTGGATTCCACTGAACACCAAGAAGTCCAACATCTCCTTTTAAACATTGCTTAGCCTCAGCTACAATCAGATTAGCAGCCTCCGCTTCTGTCAAACCTTTCTTCCCAGTTGCCCAGATACACCTTATTTTCTTTCGTTCTTCTGCTTCATATTGTTCTTCGTGTTCAGCTTTTCTCACACTGGAAAAGTAAGAAAGACATAATTCATAATCAACTGACAAAAAACACACTATTATTATATTCAGTTATTTGTTTTATATTCCATCACATTAGGTACTTCTATTTTGTAACCAAAACTTACCAGCAAATAAATTAATATAATTTAAAAATAAAATGAATAAATGAACAAATAATAATTAAAGCTGCAAGCAGATTTACAGGTTACGAGAATGTTGTTAACATTTTCTCGGTGTTTGGTAAATGTAACCTCAATAATTAAATTGCAAATATACTATTAACTAATCTCCCTCCTGTTATTATTTATATTATCATATTTGATAATAAAAAGTATTTGAAAATGTAATTTTTAAACAGAAATAGCAAAAATATTTGCAACACTGACCAAATAAAACCATAGTGCATATGGTAATAATCAAAAGTGAATCAAATTTCTGCACATATATAATGTAGAGGGCGCTATACTGACTGCAAGTATTGAATATTTGTTTTATTTTTAAAATCAAATATGGCATGAAAAGGCACAAGTCAGATGAAGTTTTTTATAAAATAGCTAGTCTAAACATCAATAATGTGACAACAAAAAATTCAGAGTGCCTGAACCCTCAGAAAGGGTTCAAAATGGCAACTTCTGATTTACTTCAATCTAATATGGTCTAACCAGTTGACCTAACAAAACTCTGAAAGTTAGGTTCATCGGATCAAATACTACATGTCTAATTTCAAGTTGATTGGTTAAAGCACTCATGAAGAACAAATGCACAAAATGTATTTGACAAAAGTTTAAGATGGTGACAAAATCCTGTGACAAGTCTAAACAATTTTTTGTATATTGATGCAACAAACCGGTAGCTACCGGTAATTTAAATCGATCAGCTAACTGTGGCATCAGTATAAAACTACTTCCTGTTTAGAAAAAAGCTAAGATGGCAGCCAAACCATGTGAGCAATCATTAAGAGGTTTACAAAAGTAATGTCCAATATACATAATTTTTTATGCTAAACATAAAATTTCAGATTAATGTGCTGCATGGTTCTGAAGAAAATTATTATTAATGTTTGCTTTTTTTCATGATCACCCCATTTTCAGAATATTAAATGTGACGAGAAAAGTCATGTGATTGCTAATTTAAAGTTTTTATTTGTGAAATAGGTAGCTCATATACAGAATGCCTATCTCCTAAATAAGGGTTCAAATTGGCAACTTCCGGCTTAACTTCATTACAAATGAAAAACAAGGTTTCATAAACGTCTGATTAATCATTTCTGAGATTTAGATGATGAAAGAATCTGTTGCAGAAGAAACGACACGACCCTAATTAAATACAACTGTATTAGAAAAAAAAATGAAAAAATAAATAATAAAAATAAAAAATGACAAAACTAGCATCTCATTTTTATACCATTGCTGTTGGAGTTGGTTAACTTGATACAGGTGGCTGTAACTTATCAAGGATTATAACTGTACATATAATTAATTGACTATAATATTAATCAACAAAATGCACATCCTTACCTATGAAATGGTACAGAATTCCTGAGTAAATTCTCTATATCTATGGGATCAGCCTGTGCAATGTTAGCTATGGTATGATATCCACCATTGTACAGGATTCTAGCTCTTTGGCCATTCAATAAAGAGATTCTCACCAAGTCACAAAGCTCTCGCTGAACACCAAAGTTTAAACGACTCTGAAACTGTTCTAGTAAAATCTCCAAGTTGATCCAACCAAGTCTGCTACAGAACACAGTCACCATACCTGAAAGCAAAGTTAACACTGTCCACATAACGTTCCAAGCACTCACAAAATCCAGTAGTTTATATAAACAGCTGATTTTAGAATGCCAGTCAGAGCACAACTAAGCTATAGAACTACGTGTATATACATGTAATTTAGATTCCCAAGGTGTGTTTTTTTTTCACTCAAAGTTGAACATGGTGCTCAGAATTATTCTTTCTTTTACAAGTTTTTTTTTTGAAATTGCAAACATCATCATTTCAAAATTGACCACCAATGCTGGAGTTTCCAAGGCATTCCTAGATATAGAATTTCTTATAGTGAACTCCTCATGATATCACATGCAAAGGATCACTGGCTGGAGGTAATTTTGTTCTGACAATATTATTTTATTATTAAGTAACTTCAGACTGTTTATTTTCTCTCCAATTGCTGAGACCAAACAGATCAACATTGTTTGGCTTAAAGAAAATGATATAACAATTTGCTAAGAATGTACAATGCATACTGTAAACAGATTTAATTTCAAGAAAGACAAATATTTTGTAAATTTTGCAAGTACATGAAAATCATGAAATTCTGTAGCATTACAAACTTTTCTGGGTCCAACAACTTTCACAAAATAATATCTCCATGAATGCCTCAAAATTACAAAATTGTAAAAATTACTAAAAGGAAAAATGAAGTGTTTTACTCACCAGAAAATGTTGCTGCTGATTGTTGTAACGACTGCAATTGACCTTTTGGTACACTATATTTCCTGGATACCTCAGCTATTGGCATTTCATTGACTAAATCCTCCAATATCATTGCAGTGTAGAAACGTTTATGGATCGCTAGAGCTCTCTGTTGTTTGAAAGTAGATGTTGATACGTTTCCTCCGACAGCTCTGGCTAGGAATCGTTCTTCAATGCCGACAAGTTCACCAACACGTTTCTTATCAATAGACAAGGTTTCCCAAATATCAATGTATCTGTACCAGTCATTAACAATGCCTTGATCATAGATGGGAGTTACCTAAAAATCAAATATAAACACTAGTACATGAAATGAAATGCATGCATGGCACAGTCCCAGTTAGTTATCAAATTTAAGATACTGTAGAATACTTTATTTTCGCTTGGAATTTATTTTCGCTATTTTCGCTGAAGGGATGATTCCGTGAAAATAAAATCCAGCGAATATACCTTTTTTCCTATATTTCACATTAAACTCATCAAAAATCAGTGAAAATTAATTCCATACAAAACGTCCAAAAAGCCTTTTCAGCGAAAATTAATTCCAGCGAAAATAAAGTATTCCACAGTATATAGTTTATAGTACATGTAATATAGTTTGAACATAAACATGCCAGAAATGCTTGATTTTTGATGATTTTTTAGCACAAAACTGGCTGCCATTTGGCCATTTTGAATCAGATAGTCAAACCAATATATCTATGTCATGATGTATATTGAATATATAAAATTTAATCATATAATCAGTCAAAACATGGCAGAGATATGGCACTAGAACTGCATTCATTAAAACAAAATGCCATTTTAAATTGGATTTGAAAAATAAAATGATGTGCATCAAGGTCCCATAATGTCCAACGTATGTGCCCAGTTTGAACAATATCCATCCATTAATGTTTGATTTTTATGATTTTTTAGCACAAAAATGGTCACCATTCGGCCATTTTGAATCAGATCGTGAAATAAATTGATGTGCATAATAATGTTATGTATGATGTACGTGTGACGTTTGATTGTGATTGCAGGCATGTCTAAGATACAGGTCCGGACAGACGCATGCACACAAGTCCTTGTTTTTGGACTGTTTGAATGGTACATGTATTTTAATGCCTTTGTCTAGAAATACCACATTGGAATCAAACCGAAAGTACCTCATTTTAAATAATATTCATTTGATGATGTTCTGGTGACATCATGTCAAAGCAGAAAAAAGAATAAG